AAGTATAATTTTTAAATTACTAATTCACCCCCCTCTTGGTTAGCCTTGGGATAATCACTTAAGCTTAACATCCTAATTCATATTGAACAAGTTTCAACAAAGGTCGTTTTTACTGTAGATGAAAATCTATCTCCAAAGAAGACTCATATAGATCACTCTATCACCTTTAACGATTCTTATTTGGAGGGAGTAAAAACCCCTCATCAAGACCCGCTTATAATTAATGCGGGGATAGGTGATCCGTGTTAAAATGTTAAAAGAATTGTTCTGGACAATGGTAGCTCTATAAATGTCATATTCTACTCAACTTTTCTCAATATGGTCCTCACCAGAGAAAAGCTTCAACCCGCTGCAGGTCCATTGTATGGATTTGACAACCGACCTATACGAGTAGAGAGGATAATCAGTCTCCCAGTTGTATTGGGAGAATTTCCTCAACATACTACACACTCCATTCAGTTCATTATTGTAAAGTTATAATCGGCTTACAACGCTATCTTTGGGAGGCCGCTCCAATCAATTTTTGGAATTGTCGCCTCTATCCCTCACCTTAAGATGAAATTCTTTACTCCAGCAGGAGTCAGTGTAATATGCGGGGATAGACAAATAGTATAAACATGCTATCTTAAGCAGGTTAAATCTCGCCCAATAATTACTCTGAGTATCGAGGACTTTGGTCTCCTGAGCGAGGATATCCCTCAAGGAGCTTCCCCTATAGAAGACCTTACTACTATACATATCTTTTAAGAACATCCTTCAAAGACATTGCAAATTGGATCACTTCTCTCAGACGACGAGAAGAAAAAATTCACAAATTTTCTACGTATAAATAAGGATGTTTTTGCCTTGAGTCCGGCAGATATGTCCGGGATTGACCCCAAAGTGATCGTACACTCCCTCAAAGTCAATCCGACGTGCAAACCAATTATCTAGAAGAAACAAAACTTTGTACCTCATCGTTAGCAAGAAATTGAACAAGAAGTGGATAAACTCTTGGAAGCTGAATTTATACGGGAGGTACACTATCCTACTTGATTGACAAATATTGCCATGGTTTGAAAGGGAAGTTGAGCATGGAAAAATGTGTATAGATTATACAGATCTCAATAAAGCTTGCCCGAAAGACAGCTTTCCACTTCCTCATATTGACCAATTAGTCGATACCACCTCTGGACATCAGATATTGAGCTTTATGAACGCATACTCCAGCTATAATCAAATTAAGATGAATCCTGCTGATGAAGAAGTGACAGCTTTTTAAACGGACAAAGGGTTATATTCCTATCGGGTGATGCCCTTCGGGCTCAAAAATACTGGAGCAACTTATCAATGCCTCATGAATAAGATTTTCAAAAACCTTAATTGGTGTATTATGGAGGTGTATGTGGACAATATGTTTGTAAAAAGTCTTGAAAAATCTCAACATTTATCTAACTTGGAGCAGTGCTTCCACTTATTAAGACATTACAATATACGACTCAACCTAGCTAAATGTACTTTTTGGGTCAATTATAGAAAGTTTTTGGAGTTTATGGTAACCCACAAAGGGATTGAAGCCAATCCCAAAAAGATCAATGTGCTAAAAGATATGGTGACACCTAAGAACATCAAGAAAGTCCAAATAGGAGAATTGCAGCATTATCTCATTTCCTGACATGTTCATAAGACAAATATCTGCCTTTCTTCAAGGAACTTAGAGGATCTCATAGCTCAGAATTCCAATGGACAGATGAATTCCAAGAAGCATTTGAGCAGTTACGAAAGTATTTGGCTTCCCCACCACTACTTTCTAAGCCAACACCAGGAGAAAGATTGTATTTGTACTTAGCTGTTTCTATCCAGGCTATCAGTTCAATTTTAATACGAGAGGAAAATGTTGTACAACGCCTCATTTACTATGTTAGTAAAATCTTATATGAAATAGAGGAACGTTATCCCATAGCAGATAAGACAGCATTAGCATTAGTTTATTCTGCCAGAAAACTGTGTCCTTACTTTCAAGCCCATTCAA